TAACACTGTAAAATAATTTTTTTGTTTTTTAGGCACAATAAAAGATAGAAGATTGTTTATGCATCATGTTTCATTAGAACCAGTTACCTGTGGACCTTTTTGGTAAGATAAGCTTAATTTTTTTTTTTGAAACCTTAGTGTAGTACAAGAAAACGTGGCTTTAAAATTTCTATTTTTTTTTTAAAGATTTGTTTTTATTTTTACTTATGTGTATGGGTATGTGTCTGTGTATGGGTGTGTGTATGTGAGTGCAGGTGCCCTGGAAGATTAGAACCTCTTCTCTTGGATTCCCAGGAGCTGGAGTTATAGGTGGTCGTATGCTGCTGGCCTTGGGTCCTAGAAACTGAATTTGGATCCTCTGTAAGAGAACTATGTACTCTTAACCTCTGAGCCATCTGCCCAGCCCCAAATGGGATTTTTTTTGTGTGTGTGTTAATTTTTCTGAAACTAATAGTACCAGTAGTGAAGAAGTTAACCTTTTCCTTTCTGAAAGCCTGTATCAGGATTAAATAAATTAGTACTTTGGTAATATTTTATAGTGCTTGTTTTATATCATCATTTCATATTTTTAGTTTAATGCAGCCTTCTAAAGTAGACTATTGATCATATTCCAGCTTTATGGATGATGTACTGAGATTGAAATAGATTGAAGAAATACTCAAAATCAATGAAAATGACGGTAGCTACTTAGGCTGAGACAGGAGCATCTTGAGTTCCTGAAGTTTGAGAGTAGTGTGTACATAGTGAGTTCCAACCAGCTAGAGGTATATAAAGAGTTCCTGTCCGATATATCTCAAAACAAAACAAAACACTGCACACGTACAGACAGAGAGAGAGAATATCCTTTTATTTCTCTTCTCTTTTCTAAACCCTATGAAAATTACCAAAACAGGCCAGGCGTGGTGACTCATGCCTTTAGTCCTAACACTTGTAAGGCAGAGGCAAATTACCAAAGGAATTTTTTTAATCATATAGTTTTTAAGGACACCAATCAGAAGAAATAGCAAAAGTCTGGAAACGGAAAACCTGAATCTAGCAGTCTGAGAAAGCAGAACAAGCAGAGGAGCTACCTGATCTACCTGATTGTCTCTGGGTTTTGTCTGTTCATTTGGTCTTTTTGAGACAGGGTCTCCCTGTAGCCCCAGCTGTCCTGGATTCACCATGGAGACCAGGCTGGCCTTGAACTCACAGAGATCTGCCTGCCTCTGCCTCCCAAGTGCTGGGATTAAAGGAGTGTGCCACTGTGAAGCTTGATTGTATCTGTTTTTAGGATTGGCTGGGGGAAGAGAACACCAGGCACAGTACAGGAAAGCATGCTGAAAACAGAAACTATGTGAAAGTCTGAATATCAACAGCAGCATTTCTAACCTCCTTCTCACACTTGCTTCTCAAATGCTGGCAAGAGACTGAAATATTATTTTGTAGGGAAGTATGACCAGCCAGCCCAATAGAAGTGACCTAAAAATATAACAGTTGAGGCTACTCACATGAAAAGGCTGCATATCCAGTCACCATGAATGAAGTCAACAACTGACAGGTCTTGTCATCATGCTCTTCCAATCAGAAGTTTAGTACCTCTCTTTAAGTGAGAGAATAGATACTAAGGACCACTGGTTGGTGGAAGGAAGCCACACTGAAAGATGGCAACCAAAAGGAGCACAGAGAAAGTAGGCAATGCAAGGACAGAACAGAAGGAAAATATAAAGAGGTTGTTTTGTTTTGTTTTGTTTTTTTCAAGACAGTGTCCTGGATAGCCTAGAGCCTACTAGATAGTCGAATCTAGCTTTGAACTTCTGCAGTCCCCCTGCCTCTGCCTTGTGAGTGTTGGGATGACAGGTTTTGCTATCACATTCAACTGAGAAGGAAGTCCTTAATGAATTAAAGTATGTGGCCAGGACTGAAGGGCATACATTTCTTTGATTTAAAGGGCCTACTGAGTGAGCATACGAATAAAACATGACCCATATTAAGGCAGACTTGTGAAATTTTAAGGCACAAGGGACACTGGAGAATCTAGAAGTTTCTAAAAACGAAAAGAAGCATCATACAAAGTTTCAAGAGTCATAATGATATGAATTTTCCCATATTCAGCAATAGAAACTAGAAGATTAGATTCTGTAATATATAACAAGAGAAAATGATTTCCAGCTAGAATCTTATCACTGACTGAAATACCAGTTAAGAGCTAAAGTAGACAGGCTGGGGCTGTAGCTCTGTGGTAGCACACTTGCCTAATATGTGTGACCAGGGGCTTTAATCCTCAAAATACTACAGCCCTCTTTAAAAAAAATGGTAGTTTTCAGATGCAGAGTACCAAAAGATTAATCTCCCATGCACTTTTCTAAGGAAACTAATCAAAACAAATGCATAAATCAAGAAGGAAAATGGGCTTCAAAATAGAGAAGCAAAGGTAGCCTTCAGGATGATATTGAAGGGAGATCTCCAAATTGCAGCTAAGCTAAATCTAGAGAAGCAGCCGGCCACTTTGGGACAGACTAGAGAGAGCCTTAGGAGAGTTTGTCTTCTAGGTAAAACTAAAGCAGTACCTGGGTAGGTTTTGATTGGTTTTTGAAATGAGAGTCTTTCTGTTGCCAAGGCTAGCCTCAAACTCGGAATTGTGTGGCCTTGACCTTCTAAGTAACCAGGATTATAGACATGTACTACTGTACCTGGCTAAAAAAAACAAATTTTTTTTTTTTAGAAGAAGCATTTCATTACAGCTTTAACATATTCAATAACACACTCCAGAGTAAGGATACATCTCTTTCAAAAGTGGTGGCTGTAAATTTTTAGGCTCACAGTTGAATTAATACAGTTATAAAACATTGAACTCAGTATAAACCCTATAAGGTATAAAATTGAATGAGTTTTTACCCTTTAAAGAAGATCTCATCTCCATTTCAAGATATGCTGTTTCCTACATTTTTTTAAATATTATTTTTTATTTTATTTTAGAAGAAGCATATCATTACAGCTTTAACATGCCTAGTAAATTTAGAAGAAGCATATCATTACAGCTTTAACATGCCCAATAACAGTTTCCATAGCAAAGACACAGCTCCTTCAAAAGTGGCTATCAAATTTCTAGGTTCGCTGTTGAATCAATACAGTTAATACAATATTGAACTCAGTATAAAACTGTAAGACATAAAATTGAATGAGTTTTTAACCCTCAAAAAAGATCTCCATTTTATTCTAAAATATACTGTTTCTTACAGAAAGACTCATTGTTTTTGCTGCTAACATTGAGGTGTTGGCACACGTGTCTCTAATCTGTATGAATCTAATTATTACTAGTCATAATTGTTTGCCTGGCTAAAAATTTTTATTTTTGTTTTTGTTTTGGGTGGTGGTGGTTTGGGTTTTTTTGTTTTGGCCTGGTTTGGATGCTAAGGATCAAACTTGGCCTCATGTATATCTGGTAAGACTTTACTACTAAGCTATAGCCCCAGCCTCTGAGGGTTTTAGTATATTAAGGACCTTACAGTGTACCTGCCTAATACAAATTCCTGTGTTTGGTCTTCAACACCATAAAAAGACAACAGCAAAGAACATTCTAGGTAAAGATGATGCAGTAGGCATACTCATTGATAGCATTCTTCCTTTTTGGTGCTGACACCCTGCCCTCTACATACAAATAACAAAATCCACAGTTGCTCAAGTCTTCAATAAGAAAGGGTGTAGTATCTGCCTATAACATGCACCCTTCACACTTTAAATCCTCTCCAAATGACTTGTAAGATTAAACTGTGTAAATAATTGAAACTGTATTGTTTAGGGAGTGATACTGGCAAAAAAACAAAACCCAGCCATATTCAATGTAAGTGCAGTTTTCTTCCCAAACACTCAAACTGTAGTGAGTTAAATCTGAGAGTTCAGAACCCATGGATCTAGAGGATCAACGAGATACTGAAATTTTAAAAAATATTTTGTTAAATTTTATGTGTATTGAGTGTTTTACCTGCATGTATGTATGTAAATGTACCTGTGTCATGCAATGCTCCTGGGGTCAGAAGAGGGTGTCAGATTCCCTGAAACTGGAGTTATAGACATTTGTTAGCTGCCATGTGGGTCTTCTGCAAGAGCAACCAGTGCTCTTAACTGCTGAGCCATCTCTAGCCCCTAGAGATGTAACAACTGTATTTACTGTAATAACACAAACATCAAATACAAAATTAATAGAAAAAGGAGACTACAATAAATAAATGTTTCAAGCATATAGAAAACTGATTTGAAACTGGTAATAAAGAGCTGAAGAGATGACTTGGTGCTTAAGAGCAGCTCGTCTTGTAGAGGACCCAAATTCAGTTCCCACCCACCCACCTTGGGTAACTCACAACCGCCTGTAACGCCAACTCCAGGATATCCAATGGCTTCTTCCGGCCTCCACAGGCACCCTCACGTACATGCACACATAGGGTACACACAGGTACACACAACAAAACACAAATAAAAATTAAAAATCTTTTTAAAAAAAAGAAACTGGTAATAGGGACAGCAGGCAGCTAGATATTTTATAAGTTTTTTAAAAGTCTCAGAAGTCACTAACAGATGATTCCATGTGTCTCCAGAACTGGGTAATGAAGGAGAACCAAAGTCCAAGAATAGTTTGAAAATAGGTTTAAGAAGCAATTAAATCCCCTTCTTTATGTCATAAAGCTGAGAAACATCCTCCATCCCATTCTGTTACTAGTTAGGAATTGTTTTCTAGAGAGGCACTTGAGTGGAGCTTTATTGGCAAACACACTAGGCACAGTGAAAGACAAGAAACGATATATTGAAAGCAAGAGGAATAAATTCTTATGTGCATGTTGAATATTGGAGAACAGCTCTCTACAACTCAGCTTGCGAAATGTTGGCGGCTAAGTTTTTATTACTGGGAATTTTAGTTGATTCATTTGCAATATAGCTGACAGTAAGCAAGTCTGTCTTTATAGTAAGAACTTTCAAATAGTTTTTTTGTTCCTCCACATTTAAATATAAACACATTGTAAATTAACAAACATCAGAAAAGAAAAATTGAATGGTTGTAAAACAAGCTAATGAAAGCAACTTAGATACTATTCAAGAAGGAAAAATTTTAAAAAACTATTAACAAAATAAAATATGTGAATGTTTGAATGTGGATTAATGATAGGATCATAGAATTAACCATATCCAAAATTGACTGAGAAAGTAGAAGTTGAAAGAAAGGAAATACATTACATATTTTTATGTAATACATTACATACTACATTTTTATTGATATAATATATTCATCTCTAATCATAATGGAAGTCTTGGAAATTGGTATAATCAGCTATATTTCTTGGGAAGCTGGGAAGACACAAAAGAGATTTTGTGTTTTATAAGGTGAAAGTGGTTTAGCAAAGAGCCAAGTTCATTTTCCGTAGGGAGAGGCCATTAGAAGTTTTATTGAGGACAATCTGTAAAGTAGCAAGAGAAAGGAGAGTTCACTGGGTGGAAATAAGGCTATAAAAATAACTAATCTAGGCTCCCTGTTTAAGAACTGAACCAGAGCATAGGCAACAGTGAGTATTAGCTTGAGGCAGAGAAAGAGTTGAGGAGCAAATGTCTAAGGCTTTCAGGCAAAATGAAAGTGGGTGCTACAAAATGTGTAAATAGTTGGAGGAGATGAAAAAGAGAGAAGTGGGATTAAAAACTGAGAGTAAGGCTCCTGAGAAGACTGAATTGTTAGATGCCTTCCTGTGAAGGTGAAAGACCAACAGGTATTTTCCTGGTGAAGGAGTAAAGGAAGAATACTGTGGTAGAACTGGAGGGGGAACACACTGAGAGAGTGCACATTTAACAGGCTCTCGTCTGTCATGGGAGATGGTCATGAAGGCAAAGACTGGGAATAAATACGTAAGGAACAGCAGTGGCCTTGAAAACTATGGTATTGTTTTACAGTGCAACACTGCTGAGCCAAACAGAGACCAGCATAGCAGTGATGTGTAGCATTGAGGATCTGTGAAAGGCATATTCCCAAACATATGTGTCCATTTATTGCTTTTAAACAGTCAGACTTAAATATTCTTTCCCCAATGCAGCACAAGAAAAGAACGGCAAGAAATCCAGAATCCACATTTTACTGCACCTGGTCAAGAATTTTTGTCTAAATCTCACCTTTTTGAGCACTCGACTTTGGAAAAATCTTCAAGCAATTTACCAGTTTCAGTACAGCCGACTGGTAAAGTTCCTGTTACAGGAAATGAAAAGAAGAGATGCCCCATTACTACAGGCAAATCCACCAAAGTCTTTGTCCCGCCTTTCAAAACCAAATCACATTTTCATGGAGATGAACATTGCATTACCAAGAACGTTAGTTTGGAAGGAAGCAAACAAAAACTCAAGTGCATAGATGAATATAGTTATGCTGATAGTGAAAATATTATTAATGAAAGCAAGATTCATCAGTTTAACAAAAATGGCTCCAATCAAGAAGAAACTATAATTGTCACAAAGTGTGAAGAAGAACGTTCAGGTATTGTATAACAATTGTCTGACACATTTTTGCCTTTTGTATACATTTTTTAAATCTTTATTATTGTATGTATATGATGCATGTGTGAGTGCAGGTGCATGCAAGCCATAGTGCACATGTGGAAGTCAGAAGACAACTTTGGGGAATTAATTCCTTTCACTGTAGGTTCTGGGATTAAACTCATTGTCAAGCTTGTGTGGCAAACACTTTTACCTGCTGGGCTATCATACTGGTCCCATTTTGCCTTTTGAGTTGATATTTTTTTCTATCTATAATATCCTGAGTATTATTTCCCTTTTGTGGTGATTAGTAGTTTTAGAACCTTCTCTAATATTTTAGATTTTCTGAATTCAAAGATTAGATTCAAATTTTTCTAATATTTTCTTTGACTAGTAAAACTTCTTATAGACTTTCTTGTTTTTTTCTGTTCTGTTTTTAAAGCTAGGAGCTGGGGCGATGGCTCAGTCAGTAAAGTGCTTGCTGCCCAAGCATGAAGACTTGAGTTCAAATCCCCAGTACCTATGTAAAAGTTGGGTGTGGTAGCATACAACTGTAACTGAGGGGGCTGAAACGGGATCCCTGGGGCTCTCTGACCAGCCAGCCTGGCCAAATTTGTGAGCTCCAGGTTCAGTGATAGACCCAGTTTCAAAAACTAAGGTGGAGAGTAGTACATTAAGATACCCAATATCAACTTGGCCTCCACATGCCTGGACTCATGCTCATACACACATGCACACACAAGAGAGACAGCATGCAGTATCCAGTGCTAGGCCAGGCATGATGCACATACACTCACAGGCACCTAGCACTCAAGAGGCTGTCAGAAGCCTTGTGAGGCAGCATGGGCTTTACATAGCAAGACTTGTCTCAAAAGACTAAACAAAGTAACAGCTATATGTGGGGCTCATGTTTGTAATCACAGGACTCAGGGTCCTCAGACAGGAAGACTCCTAGGAGTTCAAGGCTAGCCTGGACTCAAATGAGACCCCCATCTCAGAAAATAAAAACAAAATAAAATTTAAAAACTGTTAGATGACTGGGTGTGTGGCTCACACCTTTAATCTCAGCACTCAGGAGGCAGAGGTAGGCAAATCTCTGTATGAAGGTGACCAACCTGATCTACATAGTGAGTTCCAGGCCAGCTGGGGCTACAGGGAGACCCTGTCTAAAAAAAAAAAAAAACTGCTATGAGTAGAATTATTTTCATGCTATTAATTTCTTCCAAAATTGAGATTAAAAATAATTGCATACATTTCTAGTCATTATACAACTTGAAACTTTTTCAACCGTGAAGATTCAAAAGGGAAAAGGCTCTCTTTTCTCTGCATGTTAAATTAGAACAAGTTGCTATACATAGTTTTATAAAGCATGTTGTGCTTTTTTAAATTTTATATTCCATTTTATTTTTGCAAACTGTTCTTTAACAGATTTAATTACAAGCCTTCAACATGCCAGAGATCTACAGGATATGCGAATTAAAAAGAAAGAAAGGCAACATATCTTCCCACAGCCAGGCAGTCTATATCTTGCGAAAACCTCCACCCTGCCTCGAATCTCTCTGAAAGCTGCAGTCAGGGGCCAAGTTCCTTCTGCATGCCCTCATAAGCAGGTATACGTGTCTGTAATACAAGTAGCATTTATAGCAAAGGAAAAGTTTATGCTGTTACTTGGAATCTGCTGCTTGTCTTGTTTAGAAAATGGGCAAATTACTGCTGAATGGATGAAAAAGCCATTCTTCATCATCAGGCTTCAGTGGGAGCCCCTGCCTCCTCTGCCAGGCTTGTCTTACCTACCAAAGTGATCTATGCTTCAAAACTACTGTTTGTGTTTCAGATCTTTCTTGTTTTGAGGCTATGTGCCCTCAGGTAGATATGAGAGGAAAATAGTCAACCTTGAATTTAAAGTGTGAATAGCTGATAGTCCTGCACTTTCTAGAGACTTTAATATTTTTAGAAGAGGATTTGCTTAAGTCACTACTATTTGGTAGAATATTTCACAATGGAAAGTTAGAAATAATAGCAATGATAGCTCATACTGAAGCTTTTATGTGCTCGCAGCACTCTTCTTAGTGCATTAGATATATCAGTTACAGCTCCGTTAGTCCTCAGTCTCCCTGAAAGAAATGTACCAGTATTTTGTCCACTTTGCAAGTAAAACGACAGAAGCGTAGACAGGGTTAAATAACTGCCCAAAGTCCCTTCACTAGCAGTGGAAGAGTGGCAGTCCCAAAGCACAGGATCTGCAGAGCCAAAGTCTGCACAAAGGAAAAGACCCTCTGGGTTCTGGGGGAATGCTGTGATGAAAGGAAGCACCTGATAGTGGGCCATGCCTGTGTAAAGAGACGCTGGGCCCTGC